TTTTTCGTTGCCAATGTGAAATAATGTATGATGACCGTTCACATTGAACGTACATTAAAACAATAATTGAAGAATACAATTTTATCATATAATTTTTTTTTTAAATTATTGTTAACAATATTATAATGATTTATAACAAAAACTTGTGAAACAGACATTTCCAACATCACCCAGTTAACTTTGTCGTCTTCAGAAAATATTACGTCCGTTGAACAAAAAGTATACTATCATTAAATCTACATTCCATGTAGTGCTTACGATAATAATTTGATGTGAAACATCAAATTAATTAAACCCCTTGCATTTACGAGCTTCAAGAACGCAGAGCGGAGCAAAGCGACGATCTGTGGTCTTGTTTTTCTCTCTCTTAACAGCTCGATTTTGTAGCGTGTTGTTTATATACTAAATATAAAAGAAAAGTTCTCGACAGACAGTTTCAGTTTTGACTGAGTGTATCAGTGTTAAAATAAATTACAACCATTAACATATATTTCAATTTTCGTTCTACCATGGTTTATTCCAATTTGTTTAGTGCCATTAAAACTTCAAATGGAGGTCAATACACAACATTAGCCATTTTACTCAAGTCAAAGTAAGTAAAATTGTTTTCCACATCTTAAGAGCATTGAGAGCATGAATAAAACAGTAGTTGTTGGAGCGCATTTGCCTAATTTTTTTTTTTAACTCAGATTTAGATTAATATCGGCTCGAAGCATAGATTCGAGTTCTGGTTTTTTCAAACTATTTATTCATTATTAACATTATTTTTTAATAATAATTAAAGTATATGGTAAGCAGCTCAGGTCGGCGAAAAAAAAAGAGTAGACAATTACTTCAGTTAACTATTTAAATTTGTCACCTCCAAAAGTGTTTCGCTTTTTTGTCTTTTTTTCATCTAATTCAAATGGAATGCGCTCAAGCACACACACACACACACACTCATAAATGCCGTTTCTTGGCATTAATCATTTGTGCGTCTCATGCAGTTTATCATATTCAAATCATGTACAGGACTAAACCTAAATTATCGTACTAGATGCATTGACTGCTGTCAAATGTCAAGCAGTATTTATACACGTGTGTTTGTGTGCATCCGATTTTTGAAATGTAAACAATATTGACATGCTTTTGATGTTTTGGAATTTTTCGTTCATTTCAATCGCATTTTCTTTTCGATTTCCATTTAAATTTTGTTTTTATTGGATTTAATTTGACTTTTAGCACGTTCGAGAAAGATGATGCCTTCATTATGTCCCTATTAGACTCTGGTTACAGTAAGGTGATGTATTGCTTACGTCAAATTCAATTGTACCGAACTATGGCTATTCTATTTACAAATAATATTTTCGTTTATTTCAAATACAGTGTTTAATGGAATCGCAGCTATTGCCCGTGTATATATCGAAACTACGCGAGATTCAGTATGCAGTTAGACAACAGAGCATCATAGCTACTCAGCAGGTGTGACATACGTATTTTGCGAACAAATACACAATTGATTCAGAATGATGGTTGGCATCCTAACGAACTAAAAGTGATAATAGTAGTGCACATTACACAGACACAATATGAATGAATATTCCAACCAACACTGAACATTTGATAATGAAAACTAATGCAAAACACATTGATTCATAGTGAAACTCAACCGTTTGATCGTTCAAGCATATTATTTGATTTCATCGCAATGAATGCCAAAACGATCAAACTGTCTGTATTTATACGGTTGCATTTCAGACACCGTATTTAATTGGCGTGGATGACAAATCTTTAATTTAATGCATTGCTTTTTCATCTGAATTCAGGTTTTATATGCATCATTAAATGCAAATCACGAGCCAATCATTATAACGGACGATGTATTTCGTATCCAGTATGCCAATAAAGCTGCCGAACGATTATTCGATGTCAAAGTGGTAAGTGTTAAATGAACTGAAATACTGTCTACGTATTTGTTATTCTTTTTTTTTCTTTCTCCCTCTCTCTTTTTCTTGCTCTCGCAATTTTAATGTAACCTGACCATTTCAACAAAGGAAGAAATTCTGAGCCGTCCATTGGTTGATGTAACTCATTTAAATGAGACAGAGGTACAGTGCATCAATGTAGCTGCGTCAACATCAGCCGAATTCGATTTAAAATTGTCTGTAAAACGGAAATCGTCGGATGCGCAGAGTGTTAATTGTCATTTTAAGGCTGTTACATGCATTGGACGGAAACCAACACATTTTCTTATCACATTTGGAATGACGCCGAACAATTCAACCGTTACAGATCATATGGCCAATGATGCATCGATCAATCCAGTTCAGTCAACCTCCAGTCTGTCCGCACTACAGCAATCTCAGACAACATCGTCAATGCCAAAACCAAATTCCGAACCTCGTGGCTCACTGCATGGCAGCATCAGACGCGGTGAGTTGATTTTAATTTAAAGTTTTCAAATTTGTTACACAATCTACCACACACACACACACAAGTGCTCTCTCAACAAACAAATGTGCTTGACAGGTTCATATACATCGCTGGGCTTTGATGCGAGATCAATCGCATCGGAAAATATTCGTCGAACAAGTTTGGCCAAACTATCGGCACTGCCACTTGAAGCACCAATAACGAAAGTATAACATTGTCTCTCTTTCATTTCTCTTTTGAACACTACCACTTATAGATGTGTGTGTGTGTATTGTGAATTTTCAATTGAAGGTGGTTTCAATCTTGAGTCAAGTACAAGAGAGCTGTTCACCCGATGAAGCAAAACTCTTAGACAAAGTGATGGAATTTTTGAAACGTGAAGGACTTTATAGCCCCCAAGTAAAAGACATGCGAACCGACGATCCAGTTGCAACCGATTTGATCGGCGCTCTTTTAACGGTAGACAAACAATCGACAATACTTTTGATAGATGATATATTGTGACTATTTTTCTTTCTTTGTTTCTTCAGCAAGGGCCTTCAAACACACTGTCATCCCGACGCTCATCGAACGATTCAGTGGTGCGAACGACGAATCGTCAAGGCTCTGTGCTGCTACCGTTGAAAGGAAAAGGCAATTCCATTGTGAATGATTTGCTTCAAAGTTGTCTAGATTGGAATTTCGATATATTTCGCCTGGAGCAATTGAGTGAGCGACATCCACTAGTTTTTTTGGGCATGGAACTATTTCGCAGGTGGATATATATAATTATACGTTAATTGAAATCTCTGTCAAGCGAATTTGATTGATTTTCGTTTCGTCAAACTCTGTTTCGCAGATTTGAGGTATTTGCAGCATTCAACATTGACGAGAGAACGTGCAAGGCTTGGTTAAGCGTAATCGAGGCTCACTATCATTCAACTAATACATACCACAATAGCACGCATGCGGCTGATGTTATGCAAGTAGGTTAATTAAATGCTGCTTCGGCATCTATTGAACTCTGAAAAAATTCACTTGAATAAAAATCTCTCAACTCACACTCACACACTCTGCTGACACAAACAAACAAACACACACACACACACAAACTAACATATGATCCGAATTTCAGGCGACGGCCGTGTTCCTATGCAAACTCCAACAGAGAGACAGCCAATTAATGGATCGCATCGACGAAGCGACCGCCTTAGTATCAGCTGCTGCACATGACATTGATCACCCGGGCCGTTCATCGGCATTTTTATGCAATTCAAACAGTTCACTTGCGATTCTATACAATGATACCTGCGTACTTGAGTCTCATCATGCCGCTCTTATGTTCCATTTGACGCTGAACGATGACAAAATTAATATCTTTAAAAATTTAGACCGTGAAACGTATAAGCTGGTGCGATCCGTTATTATTGATATGATTTTAGCGACCGAAATGACGCGCCATTTTGAGCATTTGGCCAAATTTGTGAGCGTTTTTGGCACGGAAAACGAACACGAAGTGCACACGGATTCAGACGATAATCATATGTTAATTAGGCGTATGCTAATCAAATGTGCTGATGTCAGCAACCCGGCGCGACCATTCCGATTCTGCGCAGAATGGGCCGAACGGTAAGATCCCCGACCAAGTGCAAGCAAATTGCAAACTTCTTTTGTGCACGTTTATTTTTAGCTCATTTCTAATTTGTCGTTTTTTTCTCCTTCTTCCTTTTGGATATGGTTTTGGTTTTTCGAACCGAATAAAGGATCGCCGAAGAGTACTTCACACAGACGGACGAAGAGAAACGATTTGGCCTACCGATTGTCATGCCAATGTTCGATCGATCGACGTGCAGCATAGCAAAGAGTCAAATTGGTTTCATTGAATTCATCATTCAGGATATGATGAAAGCCTGGGATGGTTTCATTCGAATGCCACAACTAATCACATGCATGGAATATAATTACATCCAATGGAAGCAGCGTGATGTGCAGCCTTCTTGAATGAACCCAACACATACACACAATTATATCTGTTTTCTATTATAGATTTCATGTATTTATTTTGAACATTTTTATTTGGTTGTTTGACGTACAGCCGCAAGGAATTAAACATTCGTCTTTTTTTCTCTCATCTATGGAGCCAAATTATCCATTGCTGTTTCTAATCAAAATCGTTGTGTTCGCTTTTTGTTTATCATGATGCAAGTATCGACTTCGGAATGGTTGAAATACAAATGTGAAAATTCGCATTAATTGACTTAGATGGAAAAAACGAACAGAAATTCCCTTATTCGGCAAAACATTCACATTATTTTGTCGATGATTAACGTGATCTACAACTCATTCAAGACTGTGTATTATACAGTGTATAATTGCATATACGCATTACTATAGTGTATTACTCTATACAGTGATTGATTTTTCATTTATTTCAGATGATGTCTTCTTACAATCTATGTTGGCAAATTCAATACTATCAATTTCAAATTAACACTAATTGGTCATCAAATCTAGGTATTTATTTGATGGATGTTAAAAATATCAAATTGTGTGCGTAGAGAGAGAGAGAGAGAGAGAGAGAGAGAGAGAGAGAGAGAGAGAGAGAGAGAGTGAAAAAGTTGTAACAAAATCCATAGAAAAACTGTAACAATTTCATTTCGTATCTTGTTTTTTGTGCGTCTGCTAGTTCAATGCAATCGAAGCAGGTTTAGAAAACAAATTGAAACCCAATACATGTTTTTACCTCACTCTCCCTTCCCTTCTTAGCATGCTTTGCACTTGCAACAACAACAACAACAAAACAACAACTTCAATTTGATCGACGGAGCAAAAAATTGTTATAATAATTTTCGAAAATTATCCCCAATGCCCAAATGCTGAACATTGTATGTTCACTCTATGCTGAACATTGTATGCGACTCTCTATGCAAACATATATGCAAATATAAATCATACAAGGTCACTTATGATCTCTCTCTCTCTCTCTCTCTCTCTCTCTCACACACACACTCTGCAATAAATATTATTATGCGTGCGTTTGCTAATTGGAAATTAGCAATTAATGGCGCGATTAACATCGACCCATGTGAACAACACTTTAATTGCGGCAATCAGTTTTGTATCTGATTTATTGTTTATTAATTGAAAGATTAATAATAGATAATTTTATGTGGTTTAAAGATTTATTTCTGCTGCTTTGTTTTTGTGCCTGTTTCTTAATGTGTTTAGCCTAAACTGTAAGCACCTTCCAATTATGTACCAAGTTTTTTTTTCTTCTTTGCAAATGCAGAGAGTCATAGATTAGAACCGAAGCCATTAAACTGACGAAATTAAATTTATTAAAAAAACTCCAAGTATCCGAAGTTGCCATAAATTGTGAGGAACACTTGACATGTTTTTCAAATCAAATTTCGTAAGATGTTGGCGAAAAATTCTTTGCACAAATAATTGTTATTGATACATTCAATTTGAATGGAAGTATTGATGCTTTCTGAAGAAATTTACCGCTTATCTTATCATATATTGGCTTTAAAATTCATGCACATGTTTGCACTGAAAATCTTGAGACAAAACTCAAAAAAATGACATCAATGGAATATATTTAAGTCCATTGCCAAGGAAGATGAATATTAGGTTACCTATGCGGCAAACCGAAACTTTTATGGAAAGAAGATTGCAAGAATTTCTATGAAGATTTACTAATTTCATCTGTTTTTTTCAAAACGTATCGAAATTATGTTTTTTCATAGTTGCGCATTGTGACTGCGTTTGAGACTTCAAGTGAGAAATAACTCATTTGAAACGGCATATATGGACAAATAGCAATGCACCCAAGTGTGTATCGAACATAGTCAGCTCAGTGGAACCATAGCTAAAGTTTGGAATTCAAAAAATGAAACGTTTGAAAAAGGAATTTCGTTCATTTGTTGTGCTTTTGCATTCCTACTAGACAATATTCTGAGACAATCGAGACAGGCCAATTTCTCTTTCGCTTTTTCACAGTTGAAAATTATTCGCTTAAAAATGACATCGTCCATAAATATGAATAACATAATAAGAAAACATCACACCATGAAGAGCTGATCAATTGACCAAAATCGATTAGAATGAATGTATGCATTGAAGAAAATCGAAAATGGCAAATAATTTACAATGAATCTAAATCAGTTGAAAGGCGTATTTTTTTTATTCAGAATAAATAAAAATTGTTATAAACCAATATCGAATTAGATCAAAAGAAAATTCGTTATCAAAATTCCCAGAAATATCTCAAGTTTAATGAATATGACAATGAATATTCCTGATACGTTTAAATATAGCTTTTTTAAAATTACGTTTTTAATAAATACTTGATAAATTGCGGCAAATTCATTGAATTGGGATTTGAAACGTAATGTAACCGGTAGCGCCATCCATCGGCGAATGTCTATTCGTCGGCCATCTGCAGTGAAAAGCAAATAACTTTGGCATTGCCATCGAGCACTTATGTTTAGTCGCCAGTAGAAGGAGGAGAGGTACAGTGGAATAGAGTAAAAAACAAGTTTATTTTTTATTTTTAATACAAATTGTGTGATGAGAAGAAAATCACATTGTCAACAAATACGGTTTTCCTACATCGATGCAACCATTTCGTCGAATCAATCCAACTGAAAAGTGATTTTTATCAGTTTTATTTTCTTTCATTCGCATTACATCACACAGTGTTCACGGATTTAATTAGAGAAAGCTGATTTTTTTTTCTTTTCGTTCGACAATCTATCGATATTTAGTAATTATTTACGTTTACCAGTGTGTTTGTGCGTTTGCGTATATATTTTTTCCCCGTTAAAATTCCACTTCAATAAACTTTGCTAAACACGAATAATTGATGAATAGAAAACGCTGTCGATGTGCTGACACACAACAATCGCCTGCATACATTTTTATTTGATTTGACTTGGCAAAATTCTAGTCAAAATCGCAGAACGTTCGATATTTAATTTTGTTTGAGCAATTGATACAATCAAGCAATTGGTGAGTTTCAATAGACAAAATTTCAAATTGAAATTAGTTGAAAAAATGTTCCGGCTACGAATAGAAGAAGAAGAAGAAAAAAATTTATTCGGAACCAAAACCCCATAGCAAATTGAAACTGAAACGAGAGAGAATGAATGAGAATGAAAGAGATACAGAGACGGACGGACGAATGGACGGACGGGAAACGGAGCATTGATTTTAAAGTGCGTCACAGATTTGTAGTAAAGTCACGGAATCGCATCGAATTCTCCGTCGACAAAATGTTTGATAATTCATCATTCATTCAAAGTATTTTATTTGTGGCTTTGCATTTTTCAAATGCGATTATATTTATTGCCACACAACAACAAGAACCACCACCACCACCACAACACAGTGGCAAATACGATTTCCTTTGTGTGTTCAGCTCACAACTCTTTCTCTATTTTTGTCGTCGTCGTAGTCGTTGCATGCAATGCCAACAGTGATCCCGCGCCGATGATTATTATACCACAAAGTACACGATAACGAATGAAAAAAAAACACAACCATTTAATTGCGGCTACCTGTTTAATGTATCATGACAGTTGTGTATGCATTTTTCGATTAATTTCAATGTATAAATCATTTTTTAATTTCGTTTCACTAATTGAAGGCCATGTCATGGTGGCATATACCGAGCTGGTGATTGACGAAAAGGAAGAAAAAAACAACTAGCATACAAACAAAGATATACGCACGTATATTGTACAATTGTACATCATGTTTACTTCATATATACACACACACGATATCCAAGTGGAGGAAAAGAGTATATTTTGCGCAATCGTCAAGCATGTGAAATGTTGTTGTTGGACTACGTCAAAATATTAAAGCGACTGGGGACCATTACCAATACAGTCCATTGCAATGGGATTGAAATGAGACACATACGAAAGAATACGGTTCAGTTCTGAACTCTGTGAACACAATAAAATAAAAAAAATCTAAATATCAGTCAACAACAATGGGTTCCATTTTTTACGGCGAAAATTCGCTAAAGTAAACATGAACAATGGCACACAAAAAAGCGATGTGTGTAGCGAACCATTGTTAGTGTGAAATGAGATTTCGCAGGTGTTTTATTCATTGCCATAAATAAAATATCAATTTCAATTTCATAAACAATTTGTTTGCAACAATTCAAGCGATTGAGGTGACTAATTTTCGTTTCGTTCTTTTTTTCTTCTTCTTTCTTTGTCGTTTGTTCTGTTTCTCTTGCAGATAAATAAATTTTAGTCCAAACATGGCACCACAACCAGACAACATACCGCCGCCGAAGGCCGATTTCACAGCACCACCACCATATGAGGCAGGTGATTATACATCGACTGCTCCGCCACCAATTGAGCCCAGTAAATTACCCACATACGAAGAGGTGCAATTGGAGAAAAGTCTCCATGGGGAACCGATCCAACCGCAAATATTGCCACCATCGATATGTGCACAACCGCATCACACCGCAAACACGGGCAATGTCACATTTATTGCCATTGCCGATACCACGGATCCAGAAAATATCACATCCGACAACAGTTTATTGGGAACAGATATAATTTTTGTGACCGCATTTCTCATTGCATTCCTATTCAATTGGATTGGATTCTTAATGTTGACATGCTTCTGTCACACAATTGCTGCGCGATACGGTGCTCTCTCCGGATTCGGTTTGTCTCTAGCCAAGTGGACGCTCATTGTCAAACACAACACCGATTTGGCATCGCATGAAAACTCTTGGCTATGGTGGCTTATAATGGCGTTCGGATTTTTGATTTGTGTTCGAGCCTTAGTACAATATGTGAGCATTAAGCGAACATGGCGTCTACTATCGGCATCGGCACAAGAACGATTGCTATTCTTCTACTGAAACCGATCCATCTTGTGCATTTAATGTAAGAATTATTCTGTGTATGGGAAACAAAAACAAAACAAAAAACATCAAAATCGAAAAGAGAATAGAAATGAAAAGTTTATTCAGAACTAATGATCTGAAGGCTACTCTTTGAAGGAAAACTACTTGTAAAACCTTAATCTCGAATGTGTCATTCTTTATTTACTAAGAAGTGTTGATCCATTGAACTTTATTTGAAGATACAATTTACACACCAATTACGTTCACACGAGTTTTTGTCAAAGGCGAAACGGACTGAATATTACGGCTGCTACAGTTGCTTGTGTGTCGTACAGCGGATAAATGATAGATAATATGTGAAATTTATATTTTCTTCGTCTTTGCAATTGGAATATTATTTTTTTTTCTTGGTCAATTGACGTGATTGCCCCGAATTCTACTGGTTAGAAAGCAACGAAATCCAATGTACACATAAACACAGCAGCACACCATTTTATTCAGCCATTTTCGCTTTATTTTTCTTGTTTGTTTGACTGCAGTGAGATGAGCCGAATTTAGTTCACAATATATTCTTATTGCAGTATTTTTTTTTAGAAATTTCCACAATCTCTCCTTTTATGACTATTATTCCCTTTTTGAAAAATGAATTATATTTTTTTCTTTGGTTTTTATCTAATGATATGTGCTATACGTCAGAACACACATGTATTTATTGAGTCATTTGAACTGTATTAAAATATCAAAATATGTGGTTATAATTTAGGCTGATGATATAAATGTTTTAGTGGTAAGGCAAAAAAAAAAAGAATTTTAATATAAAAATTAACAAAAGAGTAAACCTACGTAAATTGCGTTCGTGTTCAATTATTTTTGTGTTTTGTTCAAGAGAAAGTGGACTTTCTTCCACAAATTTTATTAAGTTTTGCATCAAGATCATACATTTCGATGAGCGGCTGGTAATGGTGAGCTTGAAAAAAATCGAATCCGTCAAATTAATTGGAATATGTACCTAACTTTTCGAGTCGATGTACAAAAAAAAATTCTTATCTAGTTTTCGATTTCATTTCTGTTTTAGATATTTTATTTAGAAATAATATTGACTTTTGAATGGTTTTTTTATGGTTGTTTTTCTACGCTAATCATAATATTGAGGTGGATAATCGATTTTACCTACGTGCTATTCTACAATTAAATTATGTTATGGATTGGTACATGTGTGTGTGTGTTGTCGCATGGGAATTTTGTAGTGAATGTCAATTAGTTGATTATAATACAAATAGAAAAAATGTATGAAGCAATATGGACGGTAAACCATTGCTGTTATATATTTAGGTGCATTCGTTTCTTTGAAATTCATTTTAAATTCTTTCAATTTTGCCGGTTGAAGGTTTGAAATTGGCTGCAATCAAGCTAACAATTGGTTGTTACTCTCGAATTGAGAGCTTCAATACGCAATTGAACTTTTATCAGCAATTCCTGACGACGTGCATAGCAAAAACATTGGAACCAAGGAAGGCTTATATAGGATGGTTCCAATTTCAATGCAGCATATATGTTCAATGTTCATAGAGAACAAACACTTCTTTGTTTACACAACATCGAAGAGTCACAGAAGAAGGCACAATCAGATGTGTTGTTCAATACACCCTCCTGTAATCTACAACCCCCTTGTCGTCATGCAAAATATCCGGAAAACAAATGGAACATGGTTCTTTCGAAGACATCCTTTAGTTACACACTAAATGTGAATAATACAACAATAAACAATGTTTATTTGAAGATTTTTCGTTGGTGCATCTCTGAACGAAAACGTAAACATGGAAATAAGAAATATGAATTTTCATCTGAGATAAGAAGATTACTGGTATATAGACGATGTATATTTTACTCGTTTAGATGGTTTTGATCATCTTCGTTATTTTTTCCCGCCCGTCATTTTGGTTCTATCTCCTTTTGTGATGATGTATTTTTTCTATGATTTCCAGGTAATTACCGAATGAAATAAATAATTATTTTCATCTTAGAGAATCACAAATCCAAATATTATTATGTTGTCATTTTCTTCGCAGCGAGGAAATTTTGATGAGCTCTCGGCTAGCATAAGCTACATTTGCAAGGGGGAAAGTCTAGATTTGTATAATTCAAACAATGCAATCTAGTACAAAAATAATCCCAAATAATCCTTCAGGAATTCTCAATAATGCTATTCATAATATCAATAAATAATAGCGAACTATGGTCAAGTAATTAATGCTTGCGTGCATTTGAATGCCTTGAAAACAAAGTGGGTCGATAGTAGATATGAATTGGTGAGACCTAGGAGAACACAAGTTTGTCAAACGTCGTAGCAATGAAGAGAAGTATATTTTACTGCAGCTAACAATGGTTGAAAGAATGTATGTTCATTTTTGGTGGGTCGTCCCGATTTTTCACGGTTACCGCGTAACTGATAAGAGATAACAACTAGTTTTCTTTGAAAAAGTTAGATCCTCTATAACATTGCTGAAGACAGTTATATCTTATCTCTTATCAATTGGGCGCAAATCAAAAACATCGGCCTATGGCATGTTTTTTTTATCATCCTTCGCGTTTTCTGCGAAACTCATTGGAGATGAGTGGGAACTGTCTGAAGCAAAGTTGCGGAAGGCCTCGAGCACTATGAATTTGCTGAAGACGCCAAGTCGTTATCTCTTATCAGTTCAGCGAAAAACGCAATTGGATACTTGTGTTGCATCGCAATAATGACCAATTGATTTCGGTTTGGTAACTTTTGTCTAATTTCATCAAAAAAGAAACAAAAAAAAATAGTTCATTCAACTTGCTTATTAAACATTTTGTCGAGATAGCTTATTATTTCCGTCCACATTTTTTGATTTAATTAAAATCTAAGTTCATTCTCAAAATATTTGACTGATTTGAAGTTCTTCGATTAAAGTTCAGTTTTTTTAATACTTGATTATTTTGCATTTTTGAAAGAGAGGTAAATCTTAAGCCAAAAACTGCGTAGAAAATAAGAAGTTGAATAAAGTTTCAGTATTCAGACGACAATAAAGACAATCAGACGTTTCATTTCATTTGAATACCCAACATCAAGATTTTCGGAATCATAATACAATTTTCCATAAAATACATGAACGTACTGTTGTTTTTTTCTGAAAATTCTTATAAATTTCCTGGGCAAAATCTGAATAAAAGCTGAACGCTATGAAAACGGTGCGGAAACTAATTTTATTCAACTATCAAGATAAAATAAAACTAAATTCACAATAAATGCAATAGATAGTCAAAAAATAATAATTTGATCGCAGTATAATTAAAAATTATCAATAGCACAATAACAAACATTCTATGGATTCTCTATAACATCATCATGCATTGGATGGCAATTCCCTTCATATTTTTGTTCCCATGGATCACCGAACATCATTAAATGTGGCCACTCTTCATTGAGTTGTGCAATAAATTTCGCTAAATACTCGCATGTAAATTGATTTTTCGAGATATTCAAAGAGCGCAGCATTGGAAAATGTGATTTCGTGAGGTTATCCACTTCTTTGAGATCATTTTCATTCAAGTAGAGCGTATGCAATCGGTTCGATACTGACGTAAAGTTCAAACTTTTCACTTTATTTTTTGAAATGTCAAGTTTCGTTAGGTGTTTGAGTACTGCAATGCCAGCGTCTGTCAGATGTGTATTGCTCATGTTAAGGTCTTTCAATCCCATTTTGATGTTATCAAATGTTTGTGCATGTAATTTACCCAGAAAATTTCCCACCAAATCCAGTTTCAATAACGATGGTCCAAGCACTTTTACCACTTCTGAGATGTTTCGAACTTTACAGTGGCCAACATTCAAAATTTGCAATTGCTTCAAAGCCATTGATGTCGATGTAAAATTAGCATTTTCCAAATTATTACGAGATATGTCTAATTCATTAAGTTCGAACGGTTCAAATGGCTTTAAATCATCAAATGAAACGCTCGAATTCTTCAATATCAGTCTTTTCATGTCTTTGAATCGTTCGAACGTGGTTGCATTCAATTTTCCCACAAAATTGCCGCTTAAATTCAAATCAACCGTTTTTGATGTCAAATGTTTCAGGATTTCGGGTACATTTTCCAATTGATTGTCGGAAATATCCAAATTTATGGGGTATTCATAGTTGTCCAAAACATTGAGATTGTCAATTTTCGTCAAATTATTGCCGGGCAGCTGAATAATGCTGAGATTTTTATGATTCTTCATCACATTCAAGTCGAATTTCTTCAATTGGGTTCCCTTTAACGATAAATGGGTTAAATTGGTGAATCGTTCAAGTAGATCGGTATCAAATGTTTCCTCAAAATTCCCCGTTAGCTCCAAGACTTGCAGCGATGATGTCAAACAATGGCACATTTCTGTTGGATTTTCAATTTGATTGCTAACGGCTTGAAAGTTTAGAATATTTTCAAAACTTCCGTCATTGCAATGTAATTCGAATCGTCCGTCGCTCGTCTCCAGAACACCTTCTTTTTCACCGGTCCGTATAACATGGATTTTTTCAGCGTCATAATTCCAAAACATAAATTTTGTGATATTTTGCCATGAAATGTGCACTGACACTCCCCTCTGCAGCAACGGTGTAAGTCGATAGTCGAATTCTTTGATTTCATTCTTCTCCAGTCGCAACGTTTTCAACTTGTTATTAGTGGGGAATTTGTAGAACAGTATGTAATTATTCAAAGCTTTTAACCGTAGGTTTATCAATTTTGGATACAAATATTTTGTGCAAAATAGATTCATATATTTCTGTTTGATTTTATTAAACGTTTAAGTTTTGGACGAAGACCGAAGAGTACGGAAGCGAAATCGGAGAAATATCGATGAATTGCTGCACTTTGTCATCAAATCTTTGTATAAAAATTTATCCAAAAACATTCATAGCACAGATATGTCAATCAGAAGTATTACAATAATACTCGTGAGCTTCATTTCAAAGATCGCAAAACATGACGCTGACTTGACTCCGTTTCTCAAACTGAACGAATTGGTTTTTACTTCTGTTTTAAATGGTACCGGCGGTGGCTCACTGTATTATATGGTCAATGCTCACTGCTCAGTGAAGCGATTTTGATAAGCTCTTGCTTTCGTTCATTTCAATGCATTTTTCCTAGTATGTTGCAATGTGCCAAAAACGCTTAATAAAACTATTTTCAATGTTTCATACTCTTTTGCTTGTGAATTTCAGAGAACTCGAATATGATAAACAAGTTAAAAGTATTGAGGCGTGTGTTAATGACCACATTAAGAGTTTTTTTTATTATCGAATATCAAATGAACGCATTAGAATACTGGTGAACGGAGAAATGTATTTGTTTTAAAACTACCGCATGAAAGTGTGCTATGATTTTTTCTTAATTCTCCTTTTTTCCTGACACTCTTTGATTTCTATTTGAATGCATGAAACGTTTTGGTTCCTTTCGTCTTGTGACTCCTTTTTAAAAACACATTTTATGTGGATTTTTTATTGAATTTTGTTCCACCTATTGGAACTAATGAAATCTTGCACTTGACGAATGTTTCACGTATTTAAATATTTCGTGGCTAATGTAAGTTTCCTATGTCGGCTATGATATTGCACAAAGACCTAGGCAAATAGTGTTTGGAATCATTCCAAAGTTTGGAACCAAACGATCAATTTGAAGTTTTCCCGCCCACACATCACTGAGTAGCGGTAAATTAGTCGTTTTTGTCCCCAATAAACTTTTTAAATGTTAAACGTGGAAAGGTGGACCATAACAAATGTAGAAGAAATAAAGACGATTTCTCAAGGTATTATATTCTGGAAGATAATGTCGAGTATTATCTATGAATGATAACAGTTTGGATAAATATTTGGTGCGTGATATTTTTTGAGGTCAAAATTTCGAAAATGGTACGATGGGGCTATTCGGATCAAAATTGTGGGGGCTATTCGGATCAGAACTTTTTACACAATTTCATGCTGTATATCAAATTTTCATTATTTTATTACGCATTTCATGTATTTTTAATGTAATATTGATCAGGTAATTGTGATATTGGTTGATTTTGAGGCTTATTCCTCAAATATTCCATGAATTTTCTGTATTTTTCGTCCATTCTGTTGAAATTTGTATAATTTCTTCGTGAACTATTTATTATTTTCTATTTTATTTAGTTCATCACGTTTTATTTCAACATAATTGGCATTTGTGAGCATTAACAACATTTCGCCGCTTCTGTTTACATTTTCCGATGCTATTTCATACATTTTAGTATAATTTCATTCAATTCAGTTGGACACATCAACAACATTCCCAAATTTTGAAAACTTAAGTAAACAGGTTCTAATTAAACTGTTGAAATACCAGAAAAAGGACTCTAATTACACGAAATACTGATTCAGAGAGTTTCTATACTAAAAATGCGACCAAATGGGGGTGATCCGAATAGCCCCCACCTATGATCTGATTTGCCCCCACATGTACCGAATAGCCCCCATGTCAGTAAGTCCAAACGTAGGCCCATATCTCACTACCAGGACACCCAACACAAAAAGTTTATCTATGTAAAAGATAGCTTATGAGAATAGCTTCCCAACGATATATAAAATGTGGCAACTCGTGGTCATTTTCAAGACGATATGGGTGATTTCCAAAAAGTGATCCGAATAGCCCCCCTCTCCCCTACATACAGCTTTTTTTTATATATATAGATTGATATTTCATATGATTAAAATGCAATTTTCGATTGAAAATCAGAATATTAGTTTAACTTAAACTGATTCAAAAAGAAGCGTTCCATTTAAACGCCGTACTTTTTTTTCTATTTGTTAAAATTCCATTCACTGTAGAAATCGCCGATTTGAGTTCGAATGCACGTTACAAATCAAAGCCATTTAGTACAATCCATACAAAATCGTTTATAAAACTGTTTAGGCATTAAATTTAAATAAAAAACGGTGTATTTGAATGAAGTTGGGTCGGTATTTGTGTTTAGTATGGTATTTCATTTGGTTGGAACCATATGTTGATTTCCCTTTTGGCAGCATCAATTGAGTCCGACCCATGGATAACATTGTTCTGAAGGTTGACACTAAAATCACCGCGAATAGTGCCAGCCAATGCTAAAGTTGGATCGTGCACGCCCAACATGTTTCGGATGATTTTGATAGAATTTGGACCTTCCCAAACCATTGGAATCAGTGGATGCGATGTCATGTAGTCCATTAATTTTTCAAAGAATGCTCTGTCTTGGTGTTCAATATAATGTTCCTCTGCCATTTCTCTAGTTGCCTAAAAAATGAATATGGAAAAAGTGGAATTTGTTCGAGTAGATTTCATTAGAAGCCGGGAAAGCGTAAAGTATTTTCGCAACAATTGTCTTGAACACATGTTTGAAAAATTTTTTGTGCTTCTACCATGAAAATTCGACTTACCAAAAATAACTTCATCGCAACCAATTTGAGGCCTTTGTTCTCAAAACGTTCGATAATTTTTCCAACTAGTTTTCGCTGCACTGCGTCTGGTTTGATCAATACCAGAGATCGTTCGAAGACATTTGATTCTGAATTGGGCGCATATTGAGTCATATGACAAGCATTCTTTTGGGTATTCAT